GGGCGTTGCGCGAAGGGGCGTGGTAAGACGCAGCGCGCGTTGAGCAGGCGCGCAGGGCCGCCGCGGGAGGCGGGCGGGCGGCGGTGACACCTGGTGAGGAAAGTGCGGCGGAACCGTCAGAGCCGGGCTGGGGCTTCCTGGCGGGGCAGCCTGCTTGTAGAGCATGGGGACCGTCTCGGGCTGTGGGGAGGGATGAGGATGTGGAAGGAGCCGCCGCGGCGGAAGCGGGGAGGGCAGCGGGGGCGGGTGTCTCCAGGGAGCGAGGCCCGGTCTTCCTTGGGGAGAAAAGACGAAGCGAGAGTCCCCGGCGGGGATCCCCCTCTCCACCCGCCACCTGGGGGCCGGGTCGCGCCTGCACGGGCCTGAGCCCAAGCTGCGAGTCGCCATAGGCGACCAGTCGGTGTGACCATCTTGTCCCGGTTTGCTCGAGACGTGCTGGTTTGAGTACTGACGGCATTGTAGGCCTCCATCCCCCTGAAGCGACCTTGTCTTGCCTCCCGTGGTTCCATCTTCTCCCGCACGTCTCAACCTAGAGGAGACCTGGGAGGTTGGAGGAGACCTCCTGACCTTTCACGCTGCCTTTTTACTGTTAGGGTTAAGGCAGCCGCGCAGCACGTTCCCGACCAGGCCCAGACATGCCTGTCCTCGTGAAGCAAAAGCTTCAGTGGGAACCTCCCTTTCCCTAAAGGTAGGTAGAAATACAGAAGGGCACATCCTGCTTGATATTTTGTCCTGTAGAAGTCACATTTCAGCCCAGTTGTGGAGCAGTGAGGAAGATTCTATGCTCATGAGAGTTTTGACAGCTAGAGATCTTTGTTTTGGAATTTCTTCCACACTCTGGAATCCCAGAATTCAGATACCCAGCCAGAACAGCCGTTAGCTTAAAATTTCCCTTCAGTCGTCTGTCATTAAACTGGAAAAACCTAGATAATTAGAAAATACAATAGGTCCCAGACAGTGATGACCAATTTTTTTCCTTTCCTAACTCAGAAAGCCTTATGGTGGAAAACTGTTGGACCCATTCAGACGGAAGGATGAAATCTCTACATAGGAACATGGTGTGAATGGAAGAGGCCTGTCACTGTGAGTGTGGCTTTTGGTTAGTCACTGGATGTCTTCCCCAGGATGACATGACTCTGAGACCGTAAACTTCAGTGGCTGAGATATAGTATCAGCCTGCAGTTAAATTACAGACATGGCAGGACTTACAGTAGTTCTCTTTTTTTGTCGTGAACATCTTTGAGTCACACTGGAAAGGGTGAGTATTTTTCATGTGGCTGTGATGAGTCAGTTCGTAATATTGTTCTTATTACCCAGATGACAGAAGGAAATGGGAAATCAGGTCATGTCTTATGGTTACCAGTTTTTATAATGGGAGCAGTTTCCCTAAAAGATGGAGGAAGGAATTTCATGATTTTCTTTTCACTCTTTCAGATTACCCTCCCCAAGAAATTGATTAGAAATGGGGAAAGCAGACAGTAATTTGATGTGGTCGCTCCAAGGCATTAGCAATCCATCAGTCATTCCATTCTAGAGAGAAATAAGAAATGTAATTGGAGGACAGGTGGGTTAAAGTCACCAGCACGGATATGCATTTATATTTGACTACTTGTGTCTTTGTGGTAGATGCAAACAGTACGGCACTCTGAACAGACACTAAAAACAGCTCTCATCTCAAAGAACCCAGCGCTTGCGTCACAGTATGAGAAGTTAGATGCTGGGCAGCGCCGTTTGATGAACGAAGCCTTCCGGCCAGACAGTGATCTCTTTGCACCCATTACTTTGCATTCACAATCAGATTGGATAAACTCCCATCCTGAGGCTCCTCAAGACTTTGAAGAGTTTTTCAGTGATCCTTACAGAAAGACACCTTCTCCAGCGAAATGCAGTATTTATATACAGTGCATTGGTATATATCGATAAGACGTTAGATTTGGTTTGGTTTTGCCAGGGAGAGTGTGGGTTGTTGATCTCATTCAAGCGGGCAGTTTTTGTCATCATTTTTGACATTCACTCCAGTGGTGGACGATTTGTAGCCAAACTGCCTTAAAAGAGGTGGTTATATTTCTTTCTAACTCGTATTCGCATCCATGAATGATAAAAGTGTATTGAAAATTTAGAGTTCGTTTGTTTCTAATTCCAAATTTCTTTTTAGAGACAGAGGTAGTAAAGACTGAATATTTTAATCATCTTAAAATTGGTCTTAAATTTTCTTGCACATCATAGGGTCTCTAGGAAACACCAGAAGTATCAGTGAAGAATATGTGAGATGGCTCAAGGGCTACTGCGAAGCGTTTTTCTATGGCCTGAGAGTCAAACTCCTGGAACCGGTTCCCGTCTCTGCAACGAGGTGCTCCTTTAGAATCAACGATAACACGCAGAACCTGCAGATTCACGCAGGTGATTCAGACAGCTGTACCGTTGGAACTGAGTAATATGTGTGTGTGTGTGTGTGTCTCATACATACATTTCTTTTTAAATAGGGCAAATCCTGAAATTCTTAAAAAAGAGGAAACCTGAAGATGCTTTCTGTATTGTGGGAATAACGGTGATCGATCTTTACCCAAGAGACTCCTGGAATTTTGTCTTTGGACAGGCCTCTTTGACGGATGGTATTCCTTTTTGATGTTGTTGGTAGAAACTTACCCAATTTGAGAATATTTGAAGATATTGAAAGAGGGGGAAAAAACTTCCAACCAGTTATAATTTTGATACTTAAGACTGTGGTATTTCTCGTGCCGGCCGTGCTGTAGTGGGAAGCGCGCTGTTGGTAGAGTCTGATGATCTGGGTTCCTCTCCAGGTGGGCCGTCCGCTGCCTGCACAACCGTGAAGCGAATAATACCTCTTTCACGGTGTCATTTTGAGATAATTTAAATGAAAATGGTGATACATTAAAAGCGTGTGTATATGCCTGGCACGTACATAGGCATTCAGCACCACGGATGGTAAATGTAAGTAATTCAGTGGCAAGGTGGATTAAGAAACGGTATTTGAGCTATCGTTAATGTAAGTGAAAATCTTGCTAATTGTCTTTCAACTCTTTTGGTAGTCTTCCTGCATTGATGGCGTAGCTTGTGTCTTATAACATTTTGTTACTTTTCTGTTTTTTTGAAAAGTCAATTTCAGTCTTTGATTTGAGAGAAAATAAACTGACTCACGGGGAACCCTGTAGTAACACTGAGGGTGGGAGACGATCTGGAAGCGAATCATGTTTTTGCCTATTTTTATTTTTTTCTTTTTTGCCTTCTCTCTGCTTCTCTTTTCCCCTCCATTTTTGCTTTTATTTTTCTGCTTCCATCCTCCAAGGATCTAAGACAGATTTGAAGGGGAAAAGTCCAGTGAACTAAGGAGAGTGGTTGTCCGTTAGCATTCTGGGGGTGAGAGTAAGTACCAGGGACTGAACTTTTATGAATACAGAGTTGACAGATTGTCTGGATGTTACATTGGCCTCAGGGTTTATTGGCGGTGGGGAGCCCTCACTGACGAATATTTCTTCCTATTAAATACATCTCTTCCCCGTTCATCAGAGGTGGAGGCACAGGGCACTACAGAGCCTCTTTTTCCCACCTACCCCTTCATCCTCATTTCTCCATTTATATTCTTACAGCCCCCCTCCCCACGACCCTGTCAGTACACTCGTAGAGACTTAGGTCACTGCTGTCTTCCTGATTTTTTTGCACACGCTTTCAAAAATGAACTTGTATGAGCTAAATCTTTCCCCTTTTATTATTAACCTGAGATGGAAGCATTATAATATGTTTTAAACAATGCATTTACTTAGATATTGTTAGCTAATTTGTCTTATGCATTTAAGGAGATCAGGAAGCATTCCCCCCAAATGTTTGTACTTTAATTTTTTTTTTTCAGTAAATGTCTTAAACATTGCATGACATTAAAGAAGATGTAGGAAGAGACAGGGTTGACCTGCTGTGCAGTGGGGCTGTATCTTACTGCAAGTCACTATGCCCTCCAAGTTTATAAAGATTGGTATTTTAAGATGGAGAAGTACTTAATTACTAAAGGAAATAATCTATTTGTTGGACTATTAGAAGGAAACAATGTTCTTGCTAAAGGAATTACAGTGAAATATGCCTACGCTGGTTTGGTCAGAGGAGACCACATGTAACACAAATAGATTTAGTTTTTTCTTAGCTTTACCAGAATGCTCTCTTCCCCTAAATTTCAAACACCAAAGTGCGGTGAGGAGCCTTCTTTTTGCATGGAATTAGATCAGGCAGACTTACTATGAATTCATTTCCTTAACAAAAAAGCCCGTATTACTTTTGAATAGCAACTCTAAGAGAGGCATCAGGAAAAGAGATGATGTCAATAAGTCAAATCTTAAAGCGGTCAGTCCCCTTTAGAATGAGCTGTGCATCAGACTCTGTTCTCTGTATGCAGAGATGGCTGAAACAAGCCCAAATGTCACAGGAGGTCAGACACAAGGGTGTCTGTTCTGGGCACGTGGAACCAGCCACGCTGTAGAGTTGTGCTGTGTTTAAAGAGGGGTAGGACGGAATAGGTTCTTCTGTCTGAAGGCCTGGTCCACATGTGTTCGCCAAGGCATGCAGGGCAGTGGCCGGGCAGTCTTCCTCTGTGGCACATGACGTGAGGGAGATATGGAGCCCTCACCAACACACGTGGCACGAGGGATGTTTATTGTGTCCAGAACGAGTGAAATCGTGAGTGCCTGTGGGTCATGTGATCATTCTTCCATTCCTCCTTCTGGAGTACTTGATTTGGACTGTTTAAGAAAAAGACTTCTTTTGTGGTGAAAAAAGTTCTCTGAAACTTCCAGTTTCTCAAGAATTTGACCTCAAGACCATTGAGTTTTACAGGGCAGAGCAAATTGGGTAGCAGATTTTGATCGGGAAATCTGGGGTAAAAAGTCCTCTTTGTCTTGGCGAACCTTAAGCCCATGAGCCCGCGCGCACTCACTAGTACAGACGTGCACCCACTGGCCAGGTCCCTAGCAGGCTGTCTCTCGGTCTTTCCTTCTGGAATCTTACCCTCTGTCGTTGCCTGTCCCCTTTCTGTAGGTGTGGGAATATTCAGCTTTGCCAGGTACGGCAGCGATTTTTACAGCTCACACTACGAAGGCAAAGTGAAGAAGCTGCAGAAGAAATCTTCAAGCGACTATTCGGTTTTTGATAACTGTTACATTCCCGAAGTGACTAGTGTTTTGCTGCTTCGGTCCTGTAAGGTGAGTTGTTCAAACAATCCAAGTCCAACAGGAGGAGGTTTTTTTTTTAAAGAGATCTTAATTCCTTGAATTTATGTGCCAGCAATCCTTCAGGTAATAGAATCAACGAGTTTGTATCGTTTTTACACTTTTGGTGGCTATTGCTTGAGTGAAGTTATCAATTAAAACAATTTAAATGGATATCTTAATACTGAAATTTACAATATTTGTGCCAGGTTTCTTTGTCCTGTTAGTTCCAGGCAGACTTGGCTGTATCCACATCCTCACCGTTAGTTCCACAATTCTGGCATGAGTGGTGAACCTACTCTTTCAAGCTGCCGTGGTCATTGAGAAAAGCTGCCTCCCCGGGGCCTCGGGGCCCCTGCTCTCTGGCTTCTTGAGGAGAATGGGCCTCCTCTCAGGCAGCAGGCCGCCTTCTACAGCAGTCGTCCCACTGGTGGTTCCTAATGTCTCCCCCACCCCTGCTCTGTGGAAAGCCTGTCTCCTCGTGTTCTCCTTTCTTCGTGGCCAGAGGCAAAGGCTTTTCAGCCTTCACCAGTCCTGTTTTTTGGGGTTTGAGAACCACACCCGATGGAACAGTATTCCCAAAGTACAGTTGACCCTTGAGCAACACGGCTCTGCACTGCACGGGTCCACGTGTGTGTGTGTGTGTGTGTGTGTGTGTGTGTGTGTGTGTGTGTGTGTGTGTGTTTTCACTAACTACCAACAGGCACTCAGCAGGTGCTGCCGTACCACAGGAGCCGAGGTTGGCTGGAGTCCGGGATGCGGGACTGCGGATGCAGAGGGCTGACTGTAGAGTTCCAGCAGATTTTTGACTGGGGAGTCAGCACCCCAACTCCCTCTTTGTTCAAGGGTCAGCTGTATGTTCCCTGCCTCAGCATCACCTGGTGTGCTTGTCATGTGCAGATCAAACCCCCCCACCCCCCACAACCTGCTGACTCAGCATCTTGGAGGAAGAGCCTCAGAATCTAAATTTTAGCAAGTACCCCATTGGTCTGGAGCAGTGGCTCTCAACCAGGGGTGGTTTTGCCACCCATGGAGTATTTGGCAATGTCTAGAGACACTGCTGGTTGCCACAGTTGGGGAAGGGGTGCTACTGGCATCTAGTGGGTAGAGGCCAGAGATGCTGCTAAGCTGCCTGCAGTGCACAGGACAGGCCCCCCCCGCGCCCCTCCCCTCCTCACCCAGCCTCCTGCAGTGCACAAGACAGACCCCCTGTTCCCCCTCCCCACCCTCCCTGCCCAGCCCAAGGAATGATCCCACCCAACACATCAGTGGTGTCAAGGCTGAGGAACCCTGGTCTGGGGGAAGTAATTAAGTACAGAGAGGAAGGCAATAAGGCATTTAGGGAAGAGAGGGACTAAGTCTGGGCAGATTGAGGTTTTAGTGATGATGGTAAAGAAGCTGATTCCTATAAATTTGTTTCTTAGAAAAGCAAGAGAAAGCAGGGGTGTAACTCATTGCTGCTGATGGCGGTGCTGTAAGCCTCCATGTGAATGTCTTGCAGACTTTGACCCATGAGATCGGACATATCTTTGGACTTCGACACTGCCAGTGGCTTGCATGCCTCATGCAGGGCTCCAACCACTTGGAAGAAGCTGACCGGCGCCCCCTCAACCTTTGCCCCATCTGTTTACGCAAGTTGCAGAGTGCTATCGGCTTCAGCATTCAAGAAAGATACAAAGTAAATGGGGGGGGAGTCAAAAGGGGAAGTGGTTATAAGCAGCCAACTACCATTTTCTATCAGGCGCTTCTCTGGAGGTGATTTATGGGAGGAGATGAGTGCAAAGGTACGCAGGAAGCTGTGGTTTAAAAAAATTGCAAAGACATAACTTTCTTAAAGACTTTGACTTGCCTCTGAGTGCCTTACACTTAGAGTTCAATGAGAAACGGTGGAAGAGGTTTCTGTATTTCCCGTTCATTTAGGGCTAGAGAGCTTGACTTTGCAGAGCAGAATATCGATAAGTGTGGCAGAGTTCAAGTTGAAAAACCATACGATACTCATCAGGAGGAAGGGATGATTTTTAAGGTGGAAGGAAAGTACCTAATCTCAAGTGTGCGTGTGAATGAATGAACGTGTGTCCACATATGCCCACGAACGTGTCAGTACACGTCATGCTCCTACTTGTGGGTGTGACTACAATTCACATCTACACGTGTGTCTTCACTACACCTATGTGTACACTTAACTGGTGTAGAGACAGACACATCACGTTAACAGAACAGAGTAATGCCTTCTGGAACACTCAGCAAGTTGAGAAAAGAGAATAATTATCTCCCCACTTTAAAAAAAAAACTGAGGATCAGTGTAATTCTTTCTAATCTCTTCTCCTGTGCACATTTGTAAGTGTAATTTGTACTCAGGGTTGGCGTTGGCATTCTCGGTGCGCACCCTTCCACTCAGCCTGGCATCACAAGTGTTTTTTTATGTCACCATCTTTATCAGATGGAACATCTTCATGGGGCAACATAAGTCACTAGTTTAGATTAAGTTGATTTAGGAGCCACTGTTTTCTCTTTGCCTGAAACAGTTTTGCTGTGATGTGTTAAAATAACGAATCTGTTCTCTGTTTCTCAAGGCGCTGGTGAGGTGGATTGATGATGAGTCCACTGACACACCTGGAGTTACTCCAAAACACAGTTGTGAGGATAATGTAAACTTGCCAAAACCTGTGGAAGCCTTTAAGGAATGGAAAGAGTGGATCACAAAATGCCTGGCCATTCTCCAAAAATAAGTACCTTCCGATAGGAGTAATAAAAATAAATACTTGCACATTATGCAGTCATTTGGGTGGAGTACTTCATTGGAATAAACTGTTCTATTGACTCTGCACTGTGTCAAAGTAACAGAGTGGAACTTTTTTTTTTTTTTTAAAGCAGCTGAACTTTGAAATGAGGCTCATTTTGACTGATAAAAACTGGAAACTTTCTCTTCTGTCTCAGTAGCCTGGTTTGGGACGGCTAGCTCATCATTTCCATTCTTCACATGTGTTTATGTCTCATGAGGGAGCTAGGACCAGCAGTAACTAGTAAGTAAACAAATCCTTTAAAAATAGTTGTATATGCCCTAAGAAAGGATTTCCAAGGAACGTAATTCCCAGGGGGTGATTTCTGGTTCAGTTTTTAGAAAGAGGTGCTTCCCCTGCCTTTCCCCGTCTGTTGACCCGACCAAGTCATTTTCTCCCTTCACATCCCTCCTGCTTTTCTGCAAGCTTTTCCACCCTTTGGGCTGCCTTACCTCCTTTTTTTTTTAATTGTTAGCTCATCCTGAAAGAAGCAATAACTCACTTCAGTTTTTAGCAGCTTAAAATGTGACCTCCTCTTGCTCTTACTTACAAGTGAAAATGACAGTGGTACTTGAACTGCACCAACCTTTGTGGTGGGTACATTGCAATTCTCAGCTTTAACAATCCTTTCTGAGGAGTCTTGCAAATAATCTGTTGTAATTGTTACCAAGTCCAAGTTCATACTGCTCACTGCATGACAGGCCAGTAAATCAAGAGACGAGTAGTTGGGGCAAGGAATAGCCAGCAGGCTGAGAAGATGGTAGAGTAGTATCCCAAAGAACCATCTTACCTGAGTTAGAACTCAGGCTTCTTTTATACTAAAAGGGGAGGAGGTGGGGGTGGTTGGTGCAAACGTTGGTGTCAGAATCCTTCGGTCTTGCAACTGTCCAGGTAGGTCAGGTCACGGTGTTCCTGTAAACCTCCAACAAGACGAATGTTAACTGTTCTGCAACTTTTATCTTTATGAATGGAAAAGTGTTACGTTTTTAAAGGTCACAGCCTTGGAAATGGACTATCCTGTACATTTCAGGTTATAGGCAACAGTCTTAAATTGTAGCAAAAGCAACAGAATACAAAGGTTAAAGTAAAAGAAAAGATCCAGTATGGAGTTAGCTGTGTTCTTCCCTATTACATAATGGTCATTACGTTTGTGAGTGTTGCACTTTTAATATAGGTTTAAGCAGGTGTTTTCTCCCTACAATAATATCTCACTCCTTTGCCTTCAGTGTTAACTTGAGCAGGGGATGGTGTGTGATGGGGTTACCTCTGGATGTGCGAAGAATGCCCACGATGGCCTGTCAGGCTGTGACCATTGGCTGGATTTCCACGGTGGGGAAGAGGTTGAAAACCTCAGACCTGACAGATCAATGAATCCTGGAAATCTAGAAACTAGAGGGGATCACTTGACCAAATGCTGAGCAGAAAGCACTTCCCACTTACTGTTTAACTGTGGAGGTGAAACTAAAGGTAATTTTTTTTTAAACTTTGATGCCTAAATTCTTCAACTGTTAACTATTTATGCAGTATGATTTAAAGCCTATTTTATAACTGAATCAATGTCTCCCTTACATTCACTCTTTCCTACTTGATGAAACCTTTTGAAGTCATTTAGAAAACGGTGTTTTGCCATTAAAACTAACGGGACACTTAGTCTTCCTACCTACTGAAAAGAGAACCCAGTGTAGCGTGGACTTTATGGATTCTGTTATGGGCTTCATTTCCTTCCTGAGTAACGTACTTTTAACCATTCTCCAGTCTGTTTAGTTTTATTTCATGTTCCTACAGGGTGAACACAGTTTTAGTCCTGTAGGTCAGCGTTAGTTACAAACCTAAAAGAACTCAGATTTGGCCAAGTGTGTAAATTGGGGGTTAAAGTTATTTGGTCAAGCTGTAAGTCCATGTGTATCTGCTCTGCATTGTGAGACCAGGAAGAGGTCTATTGAAACAAATACTTCACTCTTGTTAAAAGTCGGATAAGCGTTAAGTTTTATGTAACAGGCAGTCATCACTCAAGTGTTGTGTATGATTAATTATTGCGTTGTACTTGCTGTTGGAAAATTTCTTGGGGTTAAGTTAAAAAATATAACTTGTTCAAGGCAACTATATGTGCTATAGGTATTTATTTTATTTTTATTATTATTTTTTTTAGTATATGTGCTGCCGAAACGAGCACAAATCTTTGTAGCTTTAAAAAATGATTTATTTTCACTTAGCCAATTTATTTTCACTTAGCCACCAACAGAAATCTAGGCAGGTTTTGCTCTGCAGATGCTGAACGAACTAGGTATCTGAGGGTAAAGAAAAGGATTTTTTCCACGGTCTAACCACCACTCTAGAAAAAAAGTGCATCTGAACCGTTCCCGTTGGCGCCCACGGAATTAGTCGTGTCTCTCTGGTCGAGGGAGGGGTTAAGTGCTAATGTTCCAGGCCGTAAAGACTTCGTCGTGAGGGTTATACAGGAGCCCGTGGCAAGGGGGGCCCGGGGGACCCCGAGCCGCGGGCGTCCGGCAG